TTCCATCGAAACGGGTCAAACGACGAGGAGGAAGAAAGAGAAGAATAAATGGCGGTGTTACATGCAAAGACACAACAGCTCAATGTGTGGTACTTCTGGCTGGAATTCTATCCACAACGTGTAGGCCGGCACCGCAGGCACTCACCGGCCGGCGACTTCCACCTGAGCTGAACCTCGGCCGCGCGACTACAAGGGATGCGGCAGTGCCGCCTGTCTTGATTCAGGGGCCTTGCCTGCAGACCACGTCATCGAAAATGTCAAGAGGGGAACACTGGGCTGGTGCAAATGGTCGAGAACATTCGGCGGTTTGCAAGATGTTGCGGCGGCATGGTACGTCCTTGAGACAATCTCAGCATGTCCCGATCCTTCTGGTCTCGTTATTTGATCATTACGAAGAGATTGCAGACGTAATAAGCTTCTAACGTCCACCAAAGATCCAGGGCCCACCCTGATCGTCTTTCGTAGAGTTGAGTTTCACTTTTGTGAGTGGTTTTCACTGGGTCATGGTGCCCAATCACGGCGGGAGATGATGGGCGCTTCGCTGACCAGGGATCGCCACCAGGGTCCGGCAGCCCCTTTTCCTGGGGATGCCAACGGTCATGTTCAGCCATCCGGGCTGGCGCGCGCGCGCGCTGCGAGTTGCCCAAGGAATACCCACTGGTTCTGGCAACAACAGTGTCGGTGGCTGGCGGCTCTTACTGGCAGCGTCGCATCTCTCGCAAAAGCACGGGGATCTCAAGGGTGTCCACGAAACTTGGCGAGTGACAAGCGACGAACCACTTCAGATATTGGTCCACCGACGCCGGGTGTTTCCATCAAATGAACAAGCCTGGGCCGAGCATCCACCCATCCCCATCCAGGCTCGATGTCCACCAGTCGTCAAATCCAGTCCTTGTGCAGGGCGATCTGTTGGCAGGGCTCTCCCATGGACTCCGAAGAAGAAAAGCAAAAGAAAAGTTTCGGAGCCGCCTCCCACGACGGGCTGTGAGGCGAATTTTGGAGGCCGTCGATCAGATCGAAGAAACGGCGTGGAAAATGTCGCAATCCAAACGAGGTTGCAGACCTGTCCAGCGTTATGGAATTCCCTGGTGGGATGACATGACTCTATTGCCGCCCTACAGGGCCCTCTTGTCTCACACATTCGCTGTCGTTGCACATGTCCATCCACGTGTGTGGCGAAACTGAGTGGCTCGCTTCACAGCGAAAATTGCGATTTTTTAGCCGCCTGACGCATGCGTGCACCAGCCAGTAACGCCAGCCTTTTGGGTCGATCGAAATTCAATCTGGCTTGTAGTGTTAAGCATGCGCTCTCTCCCGTCACTACCATCCTGTGGCATGGCGGTCTCTTTTGACGCCCCCTCTCTCGATTGGTGTCCTGAGCAGCAAGGCGTCGACAAGGTGAGACTGCCAGCTGCCGAGTAGGCCATGTCAAGAACGTCACCAAAGTGCACCAAAGTGGTGCTTTTGGCAACGCGGTAACTTTTGCGGCTGCTGGGCGAGAACGGAACCTCGACAGAAGCAAGACACACACAGGCGCCGCAGGCCGCCATTTGAGCTGGTCGGCGCCCTCTCCAGCTCTGGCCACCTCACAGCACCGTCCGAGCGATATCCAAGCTCGACCATCAGCACAAGCCACGGGACTTCCCCTCACCACAAAACGTAGAAGACCGAACAAGCCGTGCGGCTCTTGCTGCTTTCGCTAAACGGAACGATGCTGACGTTATCCAGCATCACGAAGCCGTTGTCACGACTGAATAAACGAGTCGACTTGGGCAGCTCAATTTCCAGCCACCGACCGGCTGCTGGCTGGCCTGGAAGCTGCAGCGAAGAGATCGAGGGTCCACCATTTGAGTCGAGAAAAGCCAAGTTACTGCCAGGGAACGATCCCTCGTCCCACCCATCGGAGGCTGGGCGGGCGGGTTCAGGGGTCCGCGTCTGGTGCGACGATTCCCAACCAGGGGGTGGCCTGCTGCGGTGGGGGTGATTGGTTCAACGCTATGTATCAAGTTGTCCCGTACCTGCATAAGGAGCGAAATCCAGGGGCACCGGCTTGATCACTTCACACCACCTTCTCCTTTTCCTCACGCCAACGCGCATCGTTCACCGCACCCTGGCAGGGTCTGGGCGAGGCAGGCCCCGTCATCTCGGCCTTGAGGCACACTTGAGTGGGGTCGTCGAGAGATTAAGGAACAGGCCAGGAGAGGAGAAGCAGTTTGGCAGTGTGGTGCCTCGCACTACTGTACCATTGCCCGCCCGCCTGCGTTGGCTGTTTGCCTCGTTTCCCCGCCAAGGCGCAGCGCTGCCAGATTGCTCGAGACCAGGGCTGCCAGGCACCACCCGCCAGGCCAGGAGAGAGGGATTTGAGAGGAGAGCCAGGGTCTAGATGCGAGGGCGACGGACAGTCCTATGACCTTGCAAAGGCCAGGCGGGTGCTGCAGCTCACAGACTCTAGACCGAGCGATGTAAAAGGACTCACCCTCCTCCTCGTCTGCTCTTCTCCTTCCTCCCTCCCCTCTCACCTACGGTCTTGTCGTTTACTCGCTATCCATCCTCAACCTTCCAGTCATTCTTTAGTCCTTGTGGCACTTACATTCCTTCAATTGCAGCATACAGTCCTTCTGATCACCCCTCACCCGAGATTCCATTCTTTTCAGCCAAGCAAACTGTGTCTGCTAGCTACTCAACGCGAAATTGATCTTTCGCCTTTTTGAACCCGTGCATATCAAATAACAACGACGAACATATCCTTCGAGGACTACCTGAACAAACAAACAAATCACTCCGTACAAATCATCACCAGCATTCACAATGAAGTCTGTCATCGCCGCCGCCGGCCTCCTGGCCGTTGCCAACGCCTACCAGCCCCGCCACTACCACTGGCGCCGCCAGAACGAGACCTACCCCGAGGTCCCCGCCGGCTACACTACGCTGACTGTTGAGGTCACTGAGGTCGCCACCATCACCTCGTGCGCTCCTACCGTCACCAACTGCGCTGCTGCCTCCAGCACCCTCCCCGCCTCTGACCTGTCCGTCATTGTTGTCACCAACACCGTCGTTCTCTCCACCACTGTTTGCCCCGTGGCCGAGGCTGCCACCATCTCCAAGTCCATCATCAAGGAGCACGAGACCGGCTCGCTTCCCGGCTCCACCAAGACCGGTGCCGTCCCCGGAATCACTGAGGGCCCCACTGCTCCCGCTCCTACCGGCTACCCCACCCCCGAGATCACCACCTCGGCCGCTCTCCCTGAGGCCCCCGTTGGTGACGACGAGGATGAGGAGGACGACGACGAGGACTGCCCCACCGACGAGGGCGATGACGAGGAGGAGGATGACGGTTCTTCCGAGGGCGAGAACGTCCCCTCTCAGACCAAGCCTTACGGCGACGCCACCGTCACTGGTGCCATCCCCGGCTCCGGCTCTGACGATGAGCTGACCACCACCACCACCGCTACCTCCACCGGCACCATCACTGTCACCGTCGAGAAGCCTGAGGAGACCGGCACTGGCTCCACCCCCGGCTCCGGCTCCGACAACGGCTCCTCCGAGGGTGAGGGTGCCTGCCCCTCCGTCTTCCGTTGTGACCGTCACGCCCCTGCTTCCACCGTCTACGTTACCATT